CCTTGAGTGCCTAGGTCGGACCCCGGTCCCCCTCGGTTAATTCCATTGCTCCGGCTGAGGCCTGGGGTGGAGGGCGGCGGCGCGGGCGGAGCGGACCCGGGTCGACCCCTCCCCCCATTTGAGGCCACTTTCAGAAAATGCCACGTCTGTAGGTGCGCGTGCAGCGCAGGCGTGTGTCAGGGTCCTCACCCCAAACGATCGTGGAGGGGCTGGAGTGCGGAGGACGTGGAGTCTGAGCTGAAGGCTCAGTCTTTTTGGTCCTGGGTTCGAGTTCCATCTCCACTGTCATCCAGAACTTACGTCGCCATGGACTCCGACTACTGCTACCTCCACCCCTATCCAATGAACCCACAGGCGGGGCAGGCCGGGGGCGACTGGACAGTAGCCCCTGCCCTGCACTGAGAACTGGGGGGGGGGGTCTCACTCTGCTTCCGACTGTCCCAGACGCCTGCTCTTGGCCCACCAAGCCTGATAAGAACGGCTCGAGAAAGAGACTTGTGCCCAGCGGGCTGTGCCCGCGCTCCTGCGCGCCCTCCTCTCAGTCGCACACTTGACACAGACACACGCCCTCGCCCGCCGCCCGGCTCCCCGCAGGTGCGAGGGCGGACACCTCCGCGGCTGCGCGCTTGGGGGGTGGAGTCGCCAACTCAGGCCAGCGGGCCGCAGGCCTCCAGCGCAGCCAGCCCTCCCGACGCTCACTTTCCGCTCAGCCGGGGCCCTGATTCACTCCCGGGCAGGTCCCCGTGGAAAACGAGAGCTAAGTCTGCTCCAGGGGCCCAGACCGGCTGAAGGCTCTGGAACAGGGCCCTACCTACCCATGAGAAGTCCTCCAGGCGTGTTCCGGGGCGCGGTTCCAAGAGGCTTGGGCAGCTCTGCAAGTTTTGGGGCGTCACCGATCTCCCCTAAACTCAGCGGCGCTAGACGGCCGAGGGAGAGGCCCTCAATTTGCTGGGCCTGCCCTAGTCTCTCCCAAACAGAAGCGAAAACTCCACTCATCTTTGCCTCACTCTCCCCGTCCGGAGAGCCTGAGAGCCAGAGTCTTGCAACCGGATCCTGCTCCACACTTTCCAGGGTTGCAATTCTCCCTCTTTCCCTAGAGTCTAAACCCTGAAGTTTTGGTCTTTTTGTGACCATTCTTTTTCTTCTCTTTTATTAATTCCTTCCTTCCTTTCCTTACTCATTCATTCGGCAAATTGTGAGCTCCCAGCACGCCCTGCTTTCAGTCCGCCACGAGGGCTGTGGTCGTCGGGGGATCCCCAGCCGTGACGCAGCTGGAGAGGGCCACCATGGCTTCCAAATGACCAATAAAATTCGGGGACCTGGGGCATGAAGTCATCAGCGATGACGCCCATTGGTTCAGGCCTGGACGTGGGCGGGTCCCCATAGCAACCGACGGCGCGTCCGAGCGCAACCTGGAGAGTGGTTGGTAATCGAGAGTAGCAGCTTGGGTGGTGCTTGGGTTGGGGCGGGGAGGCTGGGGTGGAGCTCAGCTTCCCCAATCCTGCAGCCCTCGCCCAACCAAACTCTTACCTTCCTTGAGCTCCTTTTTCTCACTGAAAGTAATGGTCAGTGCCACTTAAGCCAGGAAGGTGAGGAGGGGGTACTGGCAACAGCGTTGGGGTCCTGGGTGCAGAGCTGCTGCCACCGGGGATGTTAATTTGGAGATCCTCGTGTTCATCTGCATATCGTCTGCATCTCATTTGCATTCTCTGCATTTAAGGTCAAATTGGTCAGACATCTCCAAGTCAGGAGCCCCGTGGCTGTATATCCCTGTCGCTATCTGTATCCCAAATCTATCCCTTAGTGTAATCCCTCAGTTGTCCAGTTCCTTACCCCACCCCTCTTCCCAGCCTCCAGCAAAGTGGGAGGGGCACCGCCCAGCTAAAGGAGAAAGGACAAGAAGTCTGACTCCCCCTCTGAATGTTTGGTGACAGATGGGGAGCACTGGTCTGTACTGCCTAGAGACTAAATTGGCAAAACAAATGGTGGGAGGAGGTGCCCCCGGCTGGGTTGAGGATCTCCAGGGCCAAATCATGCACACACCTGGCAGGGTGCTGGAACGGGGGATGCCTGCTTCCAGCCAGGGGCAGGCCTGCCCACCGGTCTGGTGCCAGGGCAGCTTCCTTCCTCCAATTAAACCCTAATGAGGTGTCATTAACCCTTGCCTTGCCTGCCAGCCCTCAGGCAGACCTCAAATTCGTGGTCTCACACTGAGTGCAGGGGAGAAAGAAGGCGCCTTAGAGGAAGCTGAGAGGCAGTAAGATCAGGGGACTAAGAGACAAGAAGGTGGGGCCAAGAAAAAAGAGAAGGTGGGGCCAGGGGCATGCGTAGCACACACTTGGTATCCTCTGTGTGCTTCTGAGGGGTTGGGGGGTCCCACTGTCTGGACACATTTATTCTTCTGTTCACCAATTCAACAATTATTTATTAAGCACCTCACCTACTCCTACTAACTAAATATCAAGCTGCATGCTAGATGCTGGGGATAACACTTGCATAAGACAAGATTTCTTCCCTTAGGAAATCTTCAGATTACTTGAGAAGACAAACTGGCCAACAAATAATTATAATGCCAAGTGCAAATCTATTGTAGAGCTATGTACAAAGTGCTATGATAACACAGGGAAATGGGCTGTCAGAGAAGGCTTGGGTTTTGAAGGGCAAAGTTTATGGTAGGGAGGGGACTTGTGTTTGACTCAGTGTGGGTCCGTGCTTAGCTGTGTTTTCAGGACTGCTGGTGCCTGCCCTCTCAGAGCTGTATGTTTTGCATCTGCGTATACATGTGTGAGTGTGTCTATGTGTTGTCTGGATCTCTCTGTGTCTGGAATCCCTTCTCCTGAACACACGCTGTGGTTTTATTACAGATCAATGTTTGCTGTGAAGCTCTTGCGAAGATTAGCCCGAACCTGCCCAGCCCAGGGGAGGGGAAGTAGAGAACCAATGTTGGCTCTTTGGGAAGGAGTGGGCAGGCACCATCTTCACTTCTGGGGGCCTAGACCCTTGGCTCTCCAAGTGGCAGAAGACTGGCCAGTCGAGGCAATGGGCTGAGCCCCAGGCTATGGTAGGGTGTGCCTAGGTCATAGTCCCTCTGCCCCTGGCTCCCCAGAGAAGCCATGGGGGTTACAGCCACCACTCCCCACTAAGATGTCAGGCCCCCCTCCCCCAGCCTGTTTTGTCTTCTGAGGAGCAGGCCAGCTCAGACCTGTCTGCTGTTTTCTCCCAAAGGGAACGGATCCTTTCCAGGGGATGTGAGAGAGCTAGGAATGCTGGGGCCTACTGGGAGGCCCCAGGTCCTCCACCCTGGCCCTCTCTGGCTCTCTTCAGCCTGGATTCTCCCCACCCACTCTGGGGTACCATTTCTCTGGGTTTTGCCCAGACATAGCCATCTTTGCCAGGGAAGCCCTCGGCTGCTATAGACGGAGGAGGGGGGTGCTAGAGCTCTGGCAGTGAGAAT